TTTTTTTTTATTATATTAATTTTAGACATTCTTAGTTCAAAACTAACCTCAATGGCTGCAACAACCAGACCCGCGTATTTAATAATATCGCTATTCTTGTCCCAGAAATCAACGAATGCCTGTTTGCAACCACGACGATAAACATTCTCAATGCGACAGCTGTTGTCCTTACAGCAGGAAGGTGGATAGTAACCTTGGAATGAATAGTCCACATAGGAGTTTTTACCGCAGCATTCCATCTAAAATTACAAGAAAAAAGTTAATAAGAAATCTAAAATAAAATCATAAATCTATAAACCAGATAAATATACTTACACTAATTTGTATGGCGTCCATGTAGTCTGCCTTACGTGTACGACGCGCCCATGCCTTTTCAACAACATCGCCCATCATTACCAGATATCTATCCTTTTGTACCCACATGTATATAACCAATGCCAGTTGGCCGATCATCAGCACGAAGAGAAGTACAGAATACTGTAAAGAATTTTATATGATTTTTAGTCTTTAATATACTCTTATCAAATACATATGGATATATGCACGTTAGGGTGCATCACTCTTCATACAAAAAATCGGTATTGTTTTTCTATCGGAAATATAAAATTTATTTTAGTTTAAGACTTGCGACCAAATATTTAAAAAAAATTTACGATTTACTGGACCTATTTGAAAATAAATATTTGAAAAAAATCTAGTTTTTATAAATAAAATCACTTTTTTAAACGGAATGCGATTTTTCCAAATATTTTGGAGGAAGTCTTAAAATATAAAAAAAAAAATACAATTCCAGTGGAGACCGCGCAACATTTTTTGTGATGCATCCTAATATACATATATACATATACGTTTTTAATTAAAAATGTATTTATAAATAATGTTCCTTTTTACCGTCATCGACATGCAGTACGATTCGCGTATCGCTCCACAACATCCAAAGAAGGAGATCAACAATATCACCGAACCCAAAACGATCATTGTAATGGGCACTTGTTGGGTTTGTACTGCCTCGGCTATGTCATCGATATTGTGTATGTTGCTGAAGAGCAGGATACCAAAGACGATGAGCAATATGCCACATATCTACATGGAAACAAAAATTTATGGTTAAAATAAAATTGGAATGGATAGGTTTTTAAGTAACTTATTGGAAATAAATAATTATTTGTATTTCACTTCACAGAGCTTATATATGCCTACATATGTAGATACTTATATATACTCAGCTTAATTTCTTATCAATTAAGTATTAAAAAATAATCCTATGTATTAGTTCTTAGTTCTTAATTAGATCTGCCTCATTGTTTAATACAGTGTGACCAAGTTAGCTGTTTTTGAAGCTATATTTAGCATTTATTATGAGGCATTTATTCATCGTGGCTTTATTCTACAACAAAACACTCTAATGGTGACGAGTACTATAAGGGGCGGTTTTTCAATGTCTGGTTATCGCTATTTCCCGGTTAAACACCATTATCGACGTTTTTGACATCACGCATATAACATGTGATCGATAAAGCAGTCGTTGTATTTAACCGAAGCTTCTACCTCTGATTTGTACTAGTCAGACATTGAACAACCGGCCCTAAGGTTATACAAAAGGAAGGGCAAGTACATATTTATTTCGAACAGGTCGGGTTTGAACGCAGAATTTTTCCTATCAGATGCTGGAGATGAATTTCGACCACAAATTTGACGTCGTTTTCTCTATCAGAAGTAATTGGCAATCTATAATCTTTCAATGCGATGTTGGTGATATCGATAGCCACTAATGCATTAAAAATGAAATTAAAAGTAGGGCCTGAAGTCTTCTCTCAACAAATTTCTGGTCACAAAGAGCTGTGATCTTTATTTTAAGGAGAAAAGCAGTGTGGAGCTCTTGTTTATTAAGGGCAGGTTGCTCAAAGTCTGGTTGACACTAATCCGTTAACGACACCGTGTTATATGCATTTAGTCGAAAACGTCGATAACGATGTTAACCGATGATTAGTGTCAACCAGGCTTTGAGCAACCGGCCCTAAATGGGCGAATACTCTACCTAGCGTATGAGTCTTTGATACTAAGCTTGTAATTGACCTCTCTCGACGTAGCGAACAGGTGATGCATTCCGCCAACGGCTACTTTGGTTTTGCCGATTTTACATTTCTCTTGTAAAAGCTAACGACGCCTCAAAAGAACCTTTCACACGTAGCAATGCGATGTATTTCGAAAGGGCTGTCAAATTGAGAAATTTCAGAAAGCAGTTGTATGAGCAGTCACAGCTGCATGTAAAATATCTTTCGAAAGAGGTTTTCTTTTTATTTCCGAAAGGCGAATTGCAGCACGGGCAAGTTGAAATATATTTCCGAAATCGATTTGAGCGCTCTCAGTAGCAGTCACATCTTGCAACTTTTATTTCTGAAATTGATTTCCGAAATGTGACAGAGAGGCCTTTTTGGCTGTTCCCACATCGAAATAATATTTCTCTTTCTCAATTTGACAGCGAACTACGTGGAAAAATTGGAAATATTGTCACGTCTGATACGCTCTTAAAACTTTAAATGCACTGAAATTCGCTAATACTTTTCACATTTTCTTAATTAATTGTTATTACAAATAATATATTTGTTTGCAATTTAAAGCAATTAAAATACATTTCCTATCCAAAAATGGAGTATTTAGATAATTGGCTCTTTCGCCATTTTCTTGTTTCCTCCTCGTCGGCTTTGTTCACTTTTACACCAGAAATGACATCGCCGCCCGGAATGCGCAACCTTGAGTTTTATCATTCTAGGTTGACTCTGAGAACATTTAAGTATTTAAGCACCACTGGAGGAAATGAGTGGAGTTAGCTCAGCGTTTTCAATTCGAAGTATGCGTAGTTACAGTTCACTCTCGGGAGAGATAGGCTAACCAAGCAAGCTAACCTTTGCGACTCTTAAACCGCAATCCTACATTACAAAATAGCAAGGTCGTGCTGTTGTTACGGGTATCGAAGGCGTTCCAAAAATCTAAGACACAACTGTCAGTGTTTTGAACGGTTATTGGCCGATAGAAATTCATGCCGTGAGGATCAATAATTACCTCAGCACGAGAACCTTGGAACCCATTTGGCGCCTCTCAAAACTCCTGGTGTTCACCTAAACGCGTAAATAGCTTGTAGCCGCGTAAGCCTCGTAAATAAATCCATAAAAAAATCTAGTAAGTTTACGAGGTTTACGTGTATACGAGGCATTTACGCGTTTAGATGATTTGCCTTAACAACTTTTACGCGGCAAATTTTAGACAAAGTTCAGCTCAAGCCACTTGTTGGGGTTTTACGAATCATATTTTTTATTTTTACTTGAACTTTTATTGTTATTGAAAGTAAAATGAAACGAACAACGCTCATTCCGAGCTGTTGTGCATTCTTAACGAGTTCTAGAATTTTCGTCGCATCATTATTAAATACGAATGTATGTAGTATGTTCACATGTAGATACAAATGTATTTACTCTACAAGTACCCTGCAGAAAATCTGACTAGCTCAGAACTAGCGTAGATCTAGTACTTTCGACGACAGTACTAGTTCTATCTCAATACACAAGCAATGCTTTCAGCTGTCCAGTTTTACACGGCGATGTCATTGGCGGTGGCAATTGCCGCCCAGTGCATAACTTTGCAACTAGTTTTTAACCGGTTCTGTTTTGGACAGCTTTTTTGAAGAAATCGTTTTTAAGATTCGATTTTTGGATATCTATTCCTTTTTTTTCTTTTACAGATTCCATGTTTATTACATATTTTATATAAAAAGAAATTATTGTAAGCGGCACGCAATAATTTAAATTATTAAATCTGAAAACTCACAACAGATATGAACTCGCGACCAACGATGCTTGAGTCGGCTTCTCGCTGAGCTACTTTCATATTGTACGAGAAGTGAGAATTTGTACACTTACTCCGCAAGTTTCCACTGACCCACTCTGCAGCCGTTTTGCACCAGTTCAGAGATAGTTCTGAAATATGTAGGTCGGAACTAGCGTTTTGCCAGACTGTCTCAAAATTTTACTGCACGGTACTTACTCTGCAGTGAAATCCCAAACTACTCAGGAAAAATAACAGTTTACAACTAGAATTTCCTGACAGAAACGGAACTAGTTCGAAAATGACCAGACCTGTACCAAGTACAAAACGATTTATTCATGCCATGTTTTATTTGACTTCGACAGTTTAATACAATAAAGTACACAAAATATTAAAACTTTTATTTGGGTATACTCAATTATACCAGACCTGCTAAATAATGATTAATATTCATAATGGCTATTCATTAAAGCATGTTTTTTTGGATAACCGGTTAATGATTCAATACCGATATTACTGATTAATAATTATTAATTATAATTAATTACTTAAAAAAATTTTATTAATTCATTAATTTTAATTACGTCATTTTTTTGTTATTTTTGATCATTTCAATTATTTTTTACTTTCTTTAATTACACGATAAATATAATTATTTGATTGATTTCTATTATCAATCAACAAGCCAAACTATATACAAAAATTAAGAATATTTAATAACTGCTTGAATTATTTATTTATTTTATTCTTATCCAAGTCTCAAATTTTAAACATTAATTATTACTTTTATAAATTTTTAAAAAGAACAGACTGAAATGTTCAAATTTAATGAATTCAATTTATTTTAATTAAAACTTTTATTTTTATTTTAGTTCCCTCAAATTCATTCATTTTATTTTTAACTAAAATGTTTTCTTTTGCATATTCAATATTATTAAAAAAGATAAAAATATAGTACTTATTGTAGCTGAAATCGTTTACTTTTAGTAACATTTAATGAAACTATCATTTAAATTTATGATCGAAAGTTCGGAATATTTAGGTATTTATTTTTGCTTTTAATTAATACTCAAATAAAAATTTGTGATATATTAAAGTGTACTTAATCAAAAGTTTTTATTGTATATTTATGAATTCATATTATTTTTTGACTCCCAAAGTAATGGTTTTGGTCCATAGTTGGACTAGTATTTTTTTGTCTATTTTGAACTAATATGAGACTGGTATATTTCTGACCGAAATCTGACAATTGCCATCTCGTAGGACATCCCCATGTTAAAAATACCAGTTGATTGCATGGAATAAAGATAGTTGGCTGACTAGTTGGGAATCCGGTTCATACTAGTTGTGAGGTAGTTTACAACTAGTTCATTTGACTACAGGGTACATATGTATTTGTTCCCCACCCATACTAGAAAACGTGACTAAAACCATAAGCGGTGGAACAACAAAACAGGCGTGACTAACTGGCAAAAATTAAGTAAACAAGTTTATAGAAATTTAATAAGGGGAATAGGAGCCAATTCAAATTCGTGATACGTAAAAGTTACAGCTCTAGCTTCTTAATTACGTAACAAAAAAGTTATAAAGCAAATTAGAAATTACTACGAGTATGATTTACTATATAACTTTGTTAAAGACGCTAATACATACATACATACGTACATATTTACTGCATATTCGTACATGTCTCTGGTTGCAATAGTATTTAATAGCTACTGAGTAAGAATAAGTGATTATGTATGTATGTATACAATTTAAGTATTTAGTTATAACGAATTTCATTTTGAAAACTAATTGTTGATTAATAAAACCGAACCCCTATAACGGCCTTGAAGTACATACAGACAAGCGCTAAGTAGACTATTTATGAGTATGTTTATACATACAGTTATTTTTTTAGGTAGGCATATAAAAATTATTTTTGCTCACAACATAATTGCTGCTTCCTTCAAATTATAAAAACCGTAAATTTTTTCCAAACTCAAATGCAATTAATTAAGTCATTGAGCGTTTTATTTATATAAAAGTAAGCGTACTACTTGTTAGCATTACCGAATTGTTCACAGATAAGTCATTCATTTTTATACCTGAGCGCACTTGTGCACAAGGGTATTATAACTTTGTTCACATAACGGTTATTTGTAACAGGCAAAACGAATCGAGATAGATATAGACAAATGTATACATAAATGATCAGAATGAAAAGAGAAATCGATTAAGCGGTTACTGTCTGTCCGTCCGTCCGTCCGTCTGTCCGT